GGGGCTTGAATGCTGCCAGGTTTCCCAAGCCTAGACAGGAGAAGTCGAGATGGGTTCGAACCACGGACCTTCAGGTCAGTGAACCCGGGTTGTAACCACTGAGCCATCGTGCTCCCGCTGTCTTCCCTGATGGGGTCTCATTTATACCCCCTTGTGCTCGACCGAGACTGTTAGAAATGCCGCGTAACCGGTATCATCATCATCATCATTGTCAGCTGTAATAACCGCGTACTTGTCGTACAGTGGTTGTAGCTGCCGCAGTTTCGTTCACCGATGATTTGTGGGGAGGGGTAGGTAGCTGCGCATTGCAGACGGGAGCTGATAAATTGGTGCATAAATCCAGCACTGTCGGTGGACTGTCAAGTGAAAGGAGGAAAAGGATGCACGCACTGAAAGCAATAGCTTGGATGCATGAGCGTCATTGATGGCGCGATTGACACCATATCCGGTGTCAGTTGCGTTCGTTTCTTTCCGGCTTGTTCGATTGAACGCTCGAAGTTGTACGGACTTTAGAGTGCGTTAGACTATGACCAGACTTCTTCCCCATATCACGTTTTTTCACCCTAAGGTTTTAAATATGATCAAGTGAAATTTGTGGTGACACGGCGTTGTACAACTTGTGTGGAACTTGGTGGTATTTCTTGAACGGCGCACGCGGCGGAAGTGACCGCGTTTACCACAAAGATTACAGACAGCTTCTCGAGCGGGACACTTTGGATGAGGATATGTATCATAACCGCAGAAATAACATGTTTGAATGGATTTTACATCAGCAGTGGTCGGATCGACACGCAGTTCGGGATTCTGTGAAATGGGTGGAATTGTAAGACAGGATATAGGTTCGTTACTAACATATGACTATGACTGTTTGTGAGCCAATTCGAGGGTTCTAGCAAGCTGATATGCTTGGTCCAGAGTGAGTTCGCTCCGTGTTAGAAGTTTCTCGCGGATGGAAGTGGATGACAGGCCGTTAGTTATAGCATCACGTACGCACCCATCTTGACATTCAGTTGCAGATACCGATTTAAACTCACAGTCTTTGGCTGGTGATTTCAGTTTTCGTACGAACTGATCAATATCCTGTCCATCCTCCTACTTGCAGCAGGTAGCGTGCATAAATGACATTTTTTGGACGGACATAATTTTTGTAACGTGTCGATTGCAGATTCATAGTCGGTGTGATTAGCATTTGATCGTATACCAGATACCGATTTAAACTCACAGTCTTTGGCTGGTGATTTCAGTTTTCGTACGAACTGATCAATATCCTGTCCATCCTCCTACTTGCAGCAGGTAGCGTGCATAAATGACATTTTTTGGACGGACATAATTTTTGTAACGTGTCGATTGCAGATTCATAGTCGGTGTGATTAGCATTTTGATCGTATACTAGCAGATCCACAAAGTGGATGAGAGTTTCAATTTTGTCGGGTTTAGAAGACTCGACAGTTTTCAGATAAGTTTCGAAGGTACGAAACCAGTTATTCGGGCATTTTGCTATATCTACGGAGTTAAGGTCAGCATTGAAGAACGGAGGTCGTAGTTGTGGGTCCATTGTGTTCTTAGACAAGTAAATTGAGACGTTCAGAATGTGTCCGAGGACGAGTTAGATCAGAGTTCGAGTTTTCGAGGATAGGCAACGTTTTACTTGTCTAAGAACAAGCGTGCATGAGCTGAAATGTACATACAAAGGTTCAGTACGATAATATATGGTAAGCATAATAATAAGCACATAAAAATCATGACACTTACTGTTTGTCTTGGCAGTGCTTCTCCAACGTCTTAGAGCGGATGTGTGTATTATCCTTGTATTCTAGAAAAATTACCTCGAATGGCTCATCGACATTTTCTGTGAGGTCTGAGAAGCTCGGAAAAGTGTAGTGCTCTTATTCAGGACGATTTTATCCAAACCAGACAAACACTGTCGAGAGCATTTCGCCACACGTATTTCTGTGTTGTTGCTCATGAGATTCTCGTGCCTATATTCTGGATAAGTAGCCGTCTCTGATTCACCCACTCTGCTTACACGTTTTACAACACCTCAAATAATGTCGACAGAGCGAATGATAAAGTCGTCCACCGAGACTGTGATCAACAACCGCATTCGGCTACTAAGAGCCGTTTATTCCGCAACCTGGCCGAATCATTTAGCCGTAATTCTTGCACTTTCTTTACCTCCGCACATTTGCTGCTCAAGGTGTTCCTAAGCTGAACTCATGAACTCTCACCATATCCTCATCCTGTCAAGTCAAACGTCTGTTAACTCACTCCCCAACGTTCCCAAATATCGGTCCTTGTGATATTCCTCCCGGTTTTTCAGGAAGCTACATCAGAATTGATCACTATCGCTTTATTCTTGATTGTGTCCTTTCCTATGGCTCTTCCCTTTTGCTCAGAGCTAACTCAGGTTCCCTCCACTGTCAAATATCGGTACCCCTGAGGCCCTACTAAGCCTCTTTTCATTTTCACCACCGTTTCATCCAGGATAATGTATTCTTTTCTAGCATAAAGGCTGCTGTGTTGTCATCTTACTGAACAACAACCAACACGAGTTCACACGCAACCGCTCTGTGTGGGTTGAGGAGGTATATAAGTCATGCCTGTAATCTCACTTTGGAAAATTTTGGAGAGACAGTCGATATCAATCGTTGCCACGGAGACTTTTGATTGAGTGCGGCATGGTGATCTTACAAGTTTTCCGATTTATACACTGCACGCGAGATAGGTCAGTTGAACTACAAACTTTTGAGCATGCTTCTCGATAGGATTGTTTTCATGGCCCACAAAATCAAGACGGATTTCCTCAAGGCTCTTTCCTGCAACCTTGTTTTCCTTATACAACAACGGTCCATTTATCTCAGTGTTTCCCTACATCTTCATCGTAGCCACACCAGCACTCTAGATTCCGAAATACCCAGTGCGAACGCGACAGCTTAGAGCTTGAAATACCCCAACGATTGAGATACGCGGTTCAAACCGAACCTTGGCTTTCCCACTCTTCCTGGCTTGGGTAACGCGAGGGTTTTTCACATTTCATGCTATCTTCGAGTTGACCTGATACTGTGCACCCACAATTAAACGATTATTATTATTAGTGGTATAAGTATTAGTATTAACGATCAGTTCTGCGAGTACTGTTTTCCCTGAAATTCGCGACCAGGTTCTTGAATGCATTACGATATTCAGCCTCTACATCCTCACAGCTCAGCGAACTTCTTCGAACCTCCCAGATTTTGTCGGTCTTAACTGCATTTTACTCTTCCTTCACCGCACTAGGTCTAGGTTTTACTGATGACCTCGCCAAGTCTGCTACCTTAAACAGTACCTTATATGCGTCCAACAGGATGAGTTCTCTTCTCAGTTACTTTATCTCTTAACTCTGTGCAGCACAAATCTCCGCTCCACCTTCCCGTGGTACTGTTTTCACATCAGGGTTGGGATCTCTTCCACCTTTCTCAATCCTGGACCGTATGTAAAGATCGGTCACCTCATTGTTGTCTCGCCGTGTACCGACACTACTCAACCATTTTCTCATCGTCGACTTGTCACATTTCATTATGGTATCGATTTTATTCTCAGTATCACGGTGAATTTCGATTCGGGATTACGTCAATTGTGTATCTTCATGCCTTCGTTTTTCCCTGTCATTCATACCTATTAATTGTACCCACTTTCAGATCTTGTCACAGTCACTCTGGTATTTGATATATTACTGTCTTGTCAGTTCATTTCAGTTGATCAGCTGTAAAACGTAATCGAAAAGGGTTTGGTCCAAGTTTTGCGTACTAAGAAATTAGGGACCAGGACTGGAGTAGCTAGGCTTTAGAGATTATAGCCTAATAGGTTGAGATATTTTACCTTACTGATGAGGTAGGAAATCGAAGACTACAACTTTGCTGAAGGAGCACCACTGACTGCGTGGTTGAGCCATGTCAGCCAGTGTCTTCAAGTGTTGATGTGTCGAGTTCCAAGGTCCCTACTCAGAGGAAGGACAGTTGTCAACCGGACTGAGTTTATTGGTTTGGACCTCCATACTTGGTTGCCAGACTGTCCGCCCTTGGTCATTTTCACTCCTCACAAAAGCTGGTAAAAAGGGCTTTCCGAGAGTGACGACCCACTGGCGTGCCGAGTGAACAACGTAGCTCACAAAGCGTAATTAGTCCTCTCCCTACAACCATCTAGCTTGCCTAGGTCTTGCTAAGCGTATGTCCCGCTCCGGAGACACCGATAGTCGAACCGAAAATTTTCGTAGAGGCTTCATTTCTGATTCGTAAGGCAATATAACGTCATGCTCTCGCGACGAGCGTCGAAGGTGTGAACTCATCTGATAAACCAGTTCTTTGTCCACCTTCAAGTGAAGCCGCCTTGACACACACGAATCCATGGCTAAATTCTTCAGCAATGGAGTGAGTACTGTGCGCAGTGCCACCGCAACGAAATGGAAACAGCCCATTCTTCGGAAAATGCTGGGGTGCGTCAGAGGGCCAATTTACTTTGACCGGACACATCACGATTGTCAAATAACATGAACGTTCACCGCGTAACGGTGGAGACCTATACCCGCAGTAAAAACGTATGTGTCCCTTTGTAGTGGTTTATAGCTTGATGCTTATCAGTGTGTGCAAACGGTGGACAGTAAGGTTTTTAAACCACTTTTACTAGCCTTATCTCATTTGACTGGCACAGAAGTGTGTTCTCAGTAAAGACCTTTTGACACCTCGTGGCTTTACCTGATCTCATCCCGGCCGACCGAACGCGTCTCCAAGATAGGTACGGTTTCAGCTTGTCCTGGTAGTGTATTCTTTTGGGGTATGGGGCTGCAACAGTAAGGGGTATGGAAGGACTTGGGTTGGCTTCTCGGTATCTTACCGTGGTGTGTGGCTCCACTGTTATGAAATGGTATGAAAAAGCGATGATACTGATATTGATGACATTGATAAAGTTACTAACTTCAGGTTTCCGTTCATTTTAACGCACATGTTTCTTTGTTCTGTTTTCAGACCTACGCTTTGTTCCGCGAATACTGGTTTCAATGGGGGAGACTTGAAAATTACATTTACATTATGGGATTCCATCCCGAATACCTAGAGTGTTATATGAAAATCCAGGCTCATCTCTTCCACGGAGATTTGCCGTTACCCTATCCAGATCGGCATTACCTCGCTGTAATGGTGAGTTCGCTGTTGCAGTGACCGCTTTTGCTCGACATTCTGTTCGAAAAAAATTAGTTGCACACTTCTGCAGTGCTTATCTTCGGACGTTATTCTTGAGATTTGCACATGACCTCACCCCAGTTGAAAGTAAAAGAAGGAGTCTGGTTCCCTGCTGACCTTGCTAATCCCACTGGACAGGGGATAGATTTTCGTTTGTTGGAGCGGAGTACCGTCTACTGTCGGGACCTGGATCCAGTTGGATGGGCAAATTAACCACTCATATGTTAACGTCCGCCATCCGTAAACATCGTCCATAATTACAGCGGCTTCAGCTTCGCAGTTCGTTCACCGACGATGAAAGGGTAGGGAATGTGGATCGCTACTCATTGAAGACAATGGCGCGCGCCAGTCTGTTGCAGACCTTTTTGATGGGAAGCGTTAGTTTTATTTAAAAAGTGCATATGTTCTCGGTGACTGGCATGGTGCCTACACACTGAAATCTTTAGGTGTGAATCGCGGACTATGCCATTGCCCCACGTGTTTCAGGGTTCCTATTTATTTATGTGTCTCATCTTAGGGTCCACACTTAGAAAGCCCTAGAAGGAGTCTGGTTCCCTGCTTAACTTGCTAATCCCACTGGACAGGGGATAGATTTTCGTTTGTTGGAGCGGAGTACCGTCTACTGTCGGGACCTGGATCCAGTTGGATGGGCAAATTAACCACTCATATGTTAACGTCCGCCATCCGTAAACATCGTCCATAATTACAGCGGCTTCAGCTTCGCAGTTCGTTCACCGACGATGAAAGGGTAGGGAATGTGGATCGCTACTCATTGAAGACAATGGCGCGCGCCAGTCTGTTGCAGACCTTTTTGATGGGAAGCGTTAGTTTTATTTAAAAAGTGCATATGTTCTCGGTGACTGGCATGGTGCCTACACACTGAAATCTTTAGGTGTGAATCGCGGACTATGCCATTGCCCCACGTGTTTCAGGGTTCCTATTTATTTATGTGTCTCATCTTAGGGTCCACACTTAGAAAGCCCTCAGTCGCTACCGTCATTCATTTCATTGGTCGTGGCTTTCCCACCTTGTTGCAGGTTATTATCCGTCCTTTTCCATTTTCCGCATGTTTTGGCAAAGTGACTCTGTGAGGCAGGTTGTGGTTTAGCGCTTGAAATACGTGAACCAACCGATGTAGCCGTTAGAAAGTAACTAGCTTACCCTTCAAGAGCGAGTTAACCGTCCGTAAACCGTCTGACGGAACTCAGCTTTACTGGCTCCATTGTCTTCATCAGATCTAAAAGACAGTCGGCAACGCCGATGGTCATTGTCTGCTTTTACTTGAACTGACATAGTCTGTGATGCATTCGGTCGGCTTGAGTACACTTAAGCGTTATAACCCTTGAAAGGCAAGTCGATTCTACGCTGACGAAGAACAGAAAAATCCACCCTAGCCATCAATATTAAGTAGCTTCTTTTTTCCAAGCCACAGGGACTAAAATGGCAGTCAAAATAAGCAGACTTGTCGGTAACATCTAATTGTTTGCTAGTTTTCGGGCGTTGTATTCGGATTTGTAGTACTACCAAACCTTTCGGATGTGAGGTCTGTTCCAAAAAGTGTGGTACAGCTCTCCACGCCAATCAGGATTCTCTCAATCTACATAAAGTTTGATCTTAGAAGAGCTATTTCACTTGGACCCAAACGAACCCAGAGCGATTTGACTGCAGTTGGTAAACATGAGCAGGTATCTTCCTTGAGGAAACTACTCACAAGGTTGCTGAAAACTCTCCGACCTTGTGAGTACTTTTCTTTATAAAAATATACTGCGATATCTCGACTATCGTGCCAACTGAAACATGAGGCGGCCTGTGTGCAGCACATTCAGTTGTAGAATATCATAAACGCGAGATTCAGTAGGGTCTCGTGAAAACCAAATTCATTTGCAAGTGATTGTATTTCTCGATAAGCGGGTATCATTACACTGTCACATCCTCAACACTGTCACAATGAATGAGTGAAACCAGGCCGCTTTGGTTAACACCGCTTGATGTAAGGAATTTGGGTGGTACATATCTCCTGCCTGTACCGTGACAATGGAAAAAGTGGACTCAGTTATTTTGATCTCACAAAAAATACTACTACTACTACTAATAATAATAATCGTCCAACTGTAACACCCTTTCGGTGCCTAACTGCCATGCCATACGAAGGAAGCAGGAGAGCTGGAATACTGTCAGGTAGTCCAAGCGTAGACAGGATAACTCGAGATGTTGAGATCGGATTCGAACCACGGACCTTCAGTTTAGTAAATTCGCGCTCCATCCACTGAGTCATCTAACCCTCCTGAGCAATTTCGCCCCCGGAAAAAGTCACTTGTGTTTCGGCTTTCAGACAGTCAGAGATGATTGTCAAGACTATTTTATTTGGCTGATCTCTGAACGATATTATGCGCGGTTTGGATCTCATTTCAGTATTTTAAGCCAGAGCTTGTTGAAATCAATCAATTCGAAGGTGAGAACAATATTCTACTCTAGAAGCAAGTCTTTGTGAAGCGTAATCGGAATCTATGCAAATTTTCTGAATACATAGTTGCTACATAGAGCCAATCGTTGCAACCTAATTTCTGACCCTAGTTCAGTGGTTAGACAACCGTGGACCGTGTACGCACAAACGATGCTTTGAGTCGCAGCTTATGTCAGCTTGTAACGTAGGATAGAGTGGGTGCAGAAAAACATAACTTAGAAACCAACAAGAAGTCAATGGTTTGGAACAAGAGATGCAGCCTCACCTCGAATTACATGTTATCTCCATGTCATCTAGTATCTCCAGCTGTGGATGCCGCGGGTCCCCGATACCCTTATTGGTGCACAGGTGAGGGTGGCTATAACACAGCTCAGAAGGTGTATGTGCACTAATAACAGTCTTTACTGTGGTTGACAGTAGTTTACAGAAGAGATTTGCAGCATGTATAAAATAAAGGCAATATAGAATGTGGAGCAAGTCAACAGGGAACTTATCGTATGTGAGATATCCTTGGTGGAAGTCCAGACCGCGGGAACGTGTTTTTCTCCGCAGTGCGACTGCTACACGTACTCCATAGTTGTCCGTGGACTTGGATTGTTTGGCTGGCTCCTTGCTCTACGTGCGCGCGCGAGTCTGTGTGCTGCTGTGTTCGGTTTCCCTATAAGCAGATCCGTTTGCGTATACGTGGGCGCGTCAGCACATGAGTGGTTGCTACGCTCACTAGACGGTACAGACAATCGATGTCCGGTGAGTCAGCTTGGTGTGACGTGGCTTGAGTATGAACAAAAAGACAAGCCTTGTGATCCAGTGAGCGACTGTGAGCTGAACAGTCAAGTGTGTGGGTGACGGGGTGGCTACACCCTAATCTGACAGACGACATGCTCCAGTGCAGCCATGACTTTTTGCCATGCTCTCCATACTTTTCCTCCGGTTCTTTGTTGGTCCCACATTGGGTCATCTTTTATACAGAACCCTCCCCAGCAAAAGGGGCACAGTGAGGCGTCATTCAGCTGATGCACGTAGAAAATGATCACGTGAGTGTGGCTGGTGCAGCTGATTTCTCACCAAAAATCATTCGTCACACTACAACATTGCTAACGCGGTATACCCATGATACGTGTACAGTACGTCAAAGATACCGATGGTCGAACACAAAAAGTCCTCTATCTTCAGGCAACAATAGCCAGGTTTCACAACTCGTAAGGGAGCATTGAACGCATTGTCACATCGTAGGCCCTACCTTTTCACGGTAGCCTTATATCACATTCATCTTAGAAGTGCTTAATTTGAAGGAAAGTAGGTCGGGATTTTGCAATTCTAGCATTTGCTTCCTCAGCTATGCTGTCGTCCGACAATGCAACAAATCAGATGGGTAAACCTGTCCGCTATCTTAATTGGTTCTGATACAGCCACCACCTTTTTTGATACACACACCCAGTCTTGTAATAGCGTGATTGAGCTATGCTAGGTGGTGTCTGCGTGACACTCTCAGAGTCTCTCATACCAGATCAGTCAATGGGTAGAGGTCTGACGAACCCAGTCTCCTGGACATCTAGGTTTGGGTTTGGAACACGTATAGCAACTTGCTCCATAAAAATTTAAGTACACTTGCTTTTCCCGCCAAACACCGCTATCTTCCGGTCGGGCTTTTGAGCTAAGGGCTTTGATTGAGGACCCTGGTCGTCATACCGTCTGGTTGTGAGCACCCTGGCAGTATCCGACCCACGTACAACCGCGTGGCGCCATCGACCGAGTTGCCTTGCTGCACTCCTTCTAGGACTGATGAATCCGTTCGTTCTGCAAGCAAGTCCTGCAAGTTTTGCAAGCAACATCTGCGCATCATCCGGGACCCACATCCTCAGGCACCTCGAAACCATTCTTCTATGTCTCTGGCTGCCTTCAATGTCCGCACTCTGAAGCAAGTAGGAAAACCATGTGATCTCGCTGTCACACCGGACTGACTCACATTGATATGTCCTGTGTATCAGAAACAAGAATTCAAGATGCAATTACAGTGTTTGAACTAACCACCCCATTACTCTCCGCTCGCTTTTGGTTGCACATCTCTGGTGATCCGTAGGCTTCTTCGGCAGGATATGCAGAGTTTGATATCGTCGTAAGTTACCGGGCGAAAGTATCCTTGCTTGGGTTTACACCCGTTGATGGTCCCCTCTTTGCGGTCTGTCTGGCAGCATCTTTGAAGGGGTCTCAGGAGCGGCAATTTGGTCGCTGTCTGTTTAGGTGCCAACCCACTGTAGCTTTGGCACCCTCAAAGACGTTTTATGACGCCCTGAATGCCCTGTTTCGGCGAGCTAGAAGGTCAGATATTGTTGCGGTTGCCGGAGATCTGAATCCATAAGTAGGCTGGCTTAGCGCTTCGGAGACTGGATTAGGTGGTAGAAATGGATCGAACTCGGTACGTTCGGGCACTCTTGGGTGATTGCTTCAGCGGTGTGCTGACCGCAGACCGTTAATGCTGCCCATGATAATGGTGACGATGAAGTATTCCGTTCGATATGGGTGCTGGTGGAGAAGTGACCTTGGTGTCTGAACGAGGACGGACAAAGTTTTGCCATAGCGGATTCCATGGAGAACCTACTGTCGACTGGTGATCCTAAGTGAGAACAACTATTATCTGCGAACCTCGAGTCCGTGATCGACACATTCCTTCGAGCCTCTATCGTGTTGGGGTGTACTGACCGCTTGACACTTTATCCAATCAACCGCAATGTTGTATAGTATAGGGTACAGTAAGCGGCCCTGTAAAAATTCCGGCCAAGTGACGATCCCCCGGCAAACGTACTGCGTACTGCGGTCGCCGCATGGTGAGATCTCGGAGACCCGGTTGACTTTGTGGTGATACCGACCGATTCCAATATTTTCCACGGTGTTTCCGGATTCATTGTGTCGAGCGCGTAACAATGGGCCATTAATATTTGTGTCATCGTTCCACATTTTGGCGTATGTCGAACATCCGGTCGTCATAACGTTCTACTTCGCCTGGTTCAGTATTGTGTGTTAGTGTTTTTCGCTGCAAAGCACTTCTTCTGAAGGACGGCAAGTATTTTAAAGGCTGCATCCAGTCAACTCACATCACACTAGTTTCCGCAACCAGATTTCTCAGCCGTTTTTGTGAGGAGGTGAATAGACGTACCACGATCGAATTGAAACGTGTCACTGTTCTAGACCTGACAAAACAGTTTGTGTAGTGGTGCCTGAATGGTGGTAGTATATACAATCGGGGGACTCAACGATGAATAATGACTTGCTGATATGTGCAATTGGGTCGATCCTGGAATAATTTTCTCTTGAAAATCAGGCTGTGATGAAAAACAATTGTGGCTCAATAGTTCCAACTTTGTGTTCACGTGTGATTGATCGCGTCGGTATCTGTCACCCGGCAGTCGATCACGTTCAGCTTGACAGCTATGCAGAATTTTCTGTCAGGAATCACCCGACGAAGTGGTCCAACGGTGGCAGTTGTCTGACTACTCACCGTCATGGTTGCATGCTCCATATAAAAAAGACAGATTTTGTCGGACTTCCCTCGACCTTTTTCCTTTCGAATAATAATCGTATTCCATGTAGCCATGCAAAGTCCTTCAATCTAAGAAGTAAGCAATTTTTAAACCGATAGACGTGTAAACTACGTGTCGGACAGTCGATTTATCCATCTACCCCTGAGAAACACGACTTGCGAGAATCCATATTACCATTGGAGCTAGTCACGGTCTCACCGTCCTCCTCTGTTCCAGTTTGAACACCGGTCAAGTCATTTACTGATCGGGCGGATGCCACGACACCGTTTGGGGACAAACAAATCACAATCTGGTATTTCAGTGCATATTTACGATGACTGCCACCAACACAACACACGCCATACTGTTTCTTATTTCGGTCCACTTCTTGTTTTCCTAGCTATTGGACTGATTCAGGACGTTAACTTGTATTCGTCAGCGCTTTGTGCGTGTGTAAGTGAACTGGTTGCCTAGATTAATGCAACGAGCTTTGTCTACTTTTATCTAAGAAGCTGAGCGAGTCTGAGTAGATAGTTCGATGTGTGTTTGTTGTGCCACTCGACACAGGTTAGAGGAATTTTTGAGATATAGTTTGACCGTATCTGGTTAGAATTTACTGGTGCTCATCCATTTGTAGCAATTCTGGTCTTGCATAGGAACTTGCCATCAGTTGCCTCCAAGCAACGCCGCAGCGTTCGACCAGCTTTGGGGATTCGTTTTCGTACATGTACTTATACACACAGCATTCGTCCTGCTGCACTGGTTTTTTTATCTATGATTACGTGTTTGGTTACAACCAACTAAGTACGAACTCATCCGTACGCCTTTCTCACGTTATTATATACCTTCATCCTAGAAAACTGTCTAACGGTTCAACCATCCACGATTTTTACTTTCGATGGACACTATGACCGGAAAGTCCGTGGTTCGAACCCGACCTCTACCTCTCCTGTCTGGGCTTGGGCAACCTGGCAGTATCCCAGCCCTCGTGCCATTTTCTGGTGAAATGGCAGTTAGGCCCCGAAAGAGTACTACAACCGAACGATTTTTTACTGTGACAAAAATTACTAGTCAATGTTTTAGACGTTTTAGGTCTATCGGCAGTGCCCAAAAATATCAGTACTGAGAGTAAATCGATCTACTGGATATTCTACACTCAAATGTCTTAGGGACAATCCAATACACGCGCGCTTCCGTCATTTAGCTTTTGGTAGAAACACGTAGTCTCTACATGCAAAGCAACATGTAGCAACAAGGCACCTTATGCGGAGATACGCATCGTTACTCTATGTAAAGATGTGCTCCTGTTTCAATGAAATTCCGTTCTAGCTCTCAGAGCAGCCTATATTTGAGACCTATACAGTCGATGGTCATAAGCCATATATTAATGCATCAGCTACGTATGGCGGGAGGAACAGAGAAGAGTAACGGCTCTTGTGAGAATAGCTCATAAAGGATCCTTGTTGCCTCGACTTGAAGCCTTATGATCCTAGGATGTCTCCTCACACTTGGTGCGCCACCCTACGCTCTCCATCGTATTCTTTTATTTATGCTCAAACCAATTTGGCACTAGTGTGATTCCATGCACTGGGTTTGCTACAACATGACCCTACCAAAACGGTCGTCGCCGACACCCGAAGTAGGCATGTGCGCGGAAAAGACTGAACTCTCCCGTTTTTATACCAGATGTCCAAGCATGGCTGCTCCAAGTAAGCCGACATCACAATGTTTTCCTGAAGCAACGAAAGGCGCACTCCGGCCGGTCGTTCGCTAGCTAGTTAGTGTTATCATAAGCAGCTGACATTGGATAGGGACGGCAATAGAAAAATACCACTCAGCAGCACAGAACAATCCCTCCAAAGAGATGATTACGGTGAAAGAGGGAGTCCGACCTCTTATGTAGGTTGACCTCTCCAGCGGGATCTTATGCTGGACAGCAACTAGCGAGGATCGCGCTTTTTAACCCTCCGAAAGACCAGCTTTTCTACGGATAGATCCTTATTTACTATTCACTGATTATGCAGCTGATGATCCAAGTTTACAGAGACATCAGAGGCTTATTGATTGTGTAGAAGCAGGTGGTTGAGCCGGTAATATATGCCAGTGGATGAACATGGTGCGATATTCGGTTAGCCGCTGTTTGCCTGACTATTCCGTTCTGTTTAGAAATTGAAACCGCTCCTGATAAAAGGTTTAACTTTATTTGAGGACGTGTCGTAGGGGGTCACTACACATGTGTTAGGTGGAATTCCACACAGATCCCGCTTTATCACTCGCAGTCAGGTGCTGCTACGGCCAAGAAAACTGTCCTGCGCAAGATTGACCAATAGTTCGGGATGCTTGCTGGTCCGGCATCAAGCCGAAATTCGATTGACACAACGCCGAGATCTGATTGGTCGAAAGTCTGGACTAAACAGCCAATCGTGATTCAGTATTTGACTGATGTCAGTCGCATCCAGAAGGCGTCAGAATTTTCAGTTGTCGCTGCTCACACTAAATACACGAAGCGCTGTACAAGTGTTCTAGTCTCCTTTTTGGGTGTTAATATACCGTTTGCACGTTTGGCGGTTGTTTTGATGTGACTACATGGTCCGTGTTTCGAACCCGACGTCTGTATCTCAACTTCTCTTGTCTGGGCGTCGGCAGTTTGGCAGCATCCTAGTCTTTGTGCAGCCCTTTCGGGTGGCATGGCCGGAGGCGCCGGAAGAGTATTATAGCCGAACGGTCCTCATTTCCGTGCGTTCCACTGGTGAAACCTTCACAATAGTTGAAGCGGATGATCGCGGTGCACTTGTAGTATGGTGGACAGTCTTTTGGAACTGTAAATTCCGTCTCAGTTAACATCTGTGACACTTTCTATGGTGGTATGATCGCAGTCACTTGCCACTACTTACCGTTGGCATGTGTTTTTGTTCGGCAACAAAGGATAAATGCTGTGTGGAACGATTAATTCTCATGCATAACTATTTGCCTAATTACGGTTGAGTTTGAATCTTTCGTCTTCCTCTCTCCCACCTTTGTGGCTACTATGTTTCGAGCACACGTCTTTCGTGAAATATTCCCGACGTGTACATGCCCACAGGAGCAAAAATAGTCTCGTAATGTCTTTTACTCACTGATTACCGCAATATCAACCAAAGGAACCAGGCATTTCAACCATTTTCGCTTATCTTGTTGTTTTGTCATTTTTACGCTGGTTTGAGTGCAATTGTATATTCATTTCACTCTGCTCGCCCCATCCCAACAGGCGGCAGCCGAACACAAATGCGTGTATCTAGTCCTATTGTTTGCTCGCCAATTTCTCGCATCGGGTGGAGACCCTACGTGGCTTCAGGGCATTCAGCACGGACCAGTAAAGTGGCGTAAGCTGGCTGGTTTGAATCACAATTTAGCGAGCCAACCGTGGATGGTGACGTGGGTAGGTCTTTTGGACAGTTATACGTAAATTTCTTCGGTAAAGTTTTCGTCTGGGCTTTTTCTGGAATTAAGTTGTAAAATCGGATTCATATTTTATTTATCCAGACTCCGTCGCTACTGAAATGGCTGAAATCAATGCCCCTCATAGTACTTGCTTGCTGTCAGTGTCTGAGCCGTTAAGGAACCCTCTCGAAGTGCTCACGGGTCGGCGTCAATTGCCGATTTATTCGATGTGTGAGAGAGGAATTCAACAGCATGTGTACGACGTGCTTAGCCTCTCCAGCACTTCAGCTGGTAGGGATAGAGTTTAGAATTCCATCCACGGGCGTCTATATTTTTCGCGTTATATGTTTGGAACTATAAAATTAAATGAGCCTCCCTTGAAGACCAGTTAGGTGTACTAATGAGTGCTTATCATCGCACCGATTCCATTTAGTTTTGAAGTAAGCAACAGAAATTTAAGAACCACACCAACTAGCTGGTTCCAAGACAGTGGAAATTGTTAGTGTGCTTTTAGCACATTTGTGTTTACTAAATTATGTAGGCCTTATCTTCCTTTTCACTGACGAGCTGTCGACATTCTGCAGCACGTTCTACCTCACTCGGCTTGTCGACTTCTTATCAGGTTGTATGCTGCTCAGATTTTTCTTACAGCAGTCCAATTCCCAACGTGTCTATCGACAAAACGAGGATCCTAACTGCTGTTTAGGGCTGAACATGTGGTACTCCATGACTCATAGTCCTAAATCAACGTTTGCATCTGGGAAGCTCTGAATGACCTTAATACCACAACCCCTCTATATTTGAAGTGGCATAGTTCCTCTTGGTACCGAATCTCAGCGCTTATTGTGCTCAATCATGTTCCTACATCCTGTGACTTCAATCCTATCGAACTTGATCATACTTCACAGTTGTGTCCATATTTTAGACACAAATCCACAATCTTATACATGGTGGCGGTGCTCAGTCGCCCGGAGAGAAACTATCACTGTCCGAACTTATGCACGCTGTCGCCATTATGACTCATGTGCATTCATTGGCCCCGTTCGTTTTTGGCTGTGGTATTCGACCGGAGATCGACCAACACGAGAGTTTGTGTAATCTAGTTGATCCTGTGGCCCAGACCAACGGGAACGGTGACGAACAGGATGTGGCAGATCATACGAATACTCACTGGCACACTTCCTATACCCCGGAGTCACCGACCTCTATTAGCAATGGTGCAAACCCCACCCCGAAGAACCACGAAGTGGTAAGCCAAACGACCGATTATGAACTGTTTTACAGCGGAATCATCAAATATCTAAAGCTGTGACCATAATACCGTTGTTATACATGCAAAAAAAACGCCACGTAATAATAGAAACTATCAAGTATATTCCTTTGTTGTTTAAATATAAGTGAACAACGGCCTGTCAAGATGTGAGCATTAGAGTCACACCGCATTCCGCCTAAGGTCTGATGAGAAGCTCTCAGCCCGTTCCCATACGAATTCAAAGCACCGTTTAGGACCAAGGAATAAAAAGCGTGTCGGTGACTTGTGCCGGTCAGCCACTGCATCTGTAATGAAGTTGTTGTATGTGGTGGGCCGGCTAACTTTGGCAGTTTTGACCCGTCTCTCTCCCGACACAGATCACCACTTCCTTTCCGAAGTAACACTTTTGCCAAGGCATTTGATGTTCGTTCCGCTGTGACAGGACAAGGCGTTCGGATACCATGTTTCGTTACATTGGTTACCTCTACTGGGCCAGTGACAGTGAAGCGAGCGATAACCAAGGTAGTTACGTGACTTGTGTGCGTCACAGGAAACCGTGTGTCGCGCCATCCAGTAAGACATCAATAGTGTTTTTCTAATCTCTTTGTTAGAACTCGGAACGCATGGAACTGTTGACTGTCGCTGGATTGTGGGACCAACAATTTAATTGTATTCGCTCAACTCCACTGACAGTCACATTATGAGGAAATAGATATCCATACCTCCTCAAGACAATATTAAACATTTCAGCCCAAGGAAGAATGCTTGACAGGGCAGCTCGACGACCGGTTTTGAGCTATGTGTGCGTTTTAGAGGGTTCGTTCTAGTAATGTGCACATTGAAATTTTTGACGCATTGCTCGCAGTTGTGCGCACTTTACTTTGTCCGTATTTGTTTCGCAACCGGCCCCATATTGTTATTGTTGTGTTAACAACAGAGTTGATTTGAATAAATTGTTTGATTGTTCACTAGTTAAAAACTTACCCACGATGATGATAATAACGTTGAGGCAGTATCAGCCTCATAACTTTCAAGTAAAGATGAGAAGAAGTTGTAAACTTGTTGTCTTTCCTTACTTTGATAACAGTTAAATGCGCCCACAGATCGCCCCACCTCCGGAGTTTTATCCTCAAACAGTGCTCATACGGATCAGCTTCCTGCCACACAGTTATTGGAACTGATTCAAACCGAGAACGACGTTGTAGATGAAGTCAGCGAAGATATCGTCGCCGAGCAGTTCATGGTTGTAACACAGTTAAATAAAGACTGTAAGTTTAACTTTTCTCTTGGTTTTCTTGGTGGAACAAATTTTTCATAAGGTTTTTGAAAACCCTTCAACATCCCGTGACCGCTTTTGCCCAACTTGGTGCTCATCAGCTAGCCGCAACGGCCCTGTTCTCATCAATCTTACAGTCTTCTTGGACTCAAATTATACACAACGGGTGAAATACACTCAGTTGCAACTTCATTTCGGTGTTCATGGGGGTATCTACTGGATCGCAGCTAAATCTCTTGCTTATAGTATTCTTCAACTGAATGTGGTGAAGGAAGACCGTCCTGTGTTTTAGTCGGAACGATATCCGAATTTTGACGGTGTATACCCGCAGTCAGTCTTTACTGAACCACTTAAATCATTACCCGCGTGCTCGGGTGTGACTCGTTGTTTAATATTAACTGCTCATAGGGCAACCCCAAAACAGGACGGCAGTAGTTGGGACCGGTTTTGCATTCCCACGGATTCTCACCATCGTGCTTGATAAGAGTCGTCAGTCAAAGGCCCTACAGTTTCTTCTGGCGAAACGATCACAATAGTCGCAATTACCTTTCAGTGATCATTGTTTACTTGACCGATGGCATGTTAGTATTTGTGATATGCGCGTCCAGTATGGCTATATTTTTAGGTAAAAAAAAGTCTACTGTGATTGTACCATACGCAGACCAGAGTCAGATTAGTAGGTTTCGGAGCCTCTCTTACTGTTCGTATAGAACATCTGTACCCCTGGTCTTCTTCTGACTGATTACCACCAAGCATCATTAATAAAAAAAAAATGCTTCCATTTACACCTCATTTTCGTAAATTCGGTGAACCCTCTCCAGAATGCCCTGATCACGCATTAATTTGGGCTGTTAGAAATCAATGAATGTGTGGATGCCTTACGGGAGGTTTCTGACCTTTGACCATTTTCCTCTGTAAGCCACTCTTGCGATCAGTGAAAAGGTCGCAAGATTTTACGTCACTATTACGCAATCACTTGTGGACAGTCTCACTGCAGTGTCTTTATTCATTTTTCGTTAACTAGTATATTTTGCTGCCCTTTTACTTGACTTTTTCTTCTACCCCTGTGTGCCATTGTGAAGCCACTGCGTTCGAGAATCGTCTCAACTGTTTTTCAGCTGCGAAATAAGCTGTCTTGTTTGATCAACAACCATTTGAACGCGGAAGACGTTTGTATAATGCACACGCTCGATTCGATGCTAATTTTGTCAAGGTTTTGCTCTCATTTGTGATACGATCCAAAGATTACCATACTCATTCGTAATTAGCATCGCGGAAGTTGTAACTCTTATTTTAGCTTTCGTTATGCCTAGTAACTCCTCTAACTCCTGTTACCGACCACTATCAATCACTAAATGAGTTGTGTGCCTAAACCTCAGCACTCGTGCAATGGGAAAGCTTGTTCGTGATTGACCCTTAACCGAAACCATCGTATCTTTTCGCTTTCGATCACAGTGGATTCAGAATACGACTCTTCTTCCCTTACTTGGGCTTCCGAACTTGTCAACACTCTCAGCCAACACCCAGCTATCGCCCGTTTTGTTGATCACCCAGACTCAGGATTTGTCGACTTCGAAGGTAGACCCTTCCATATCGCGGTGAGTGATTGCTACTTCTTTGTCAACAGTGCACTGACGAGGCGATCTCCTGTGATTTTCAGTCACACATGAAACGTTTTACTGCGTTAGGGATGCAGTCACCTGAAGTCTAACTTTTCTTGGTCATCTGGTTTCTACACTTTCGGATTTCATTTATGGAGTCCCCCACAGAGGCTAAAGTCGAGGTTGTATCAGTAGACGAGAATGGTCTACTGAGACACTGTTGGTCGACGAGTAACTTTGAGAGCATCGTTAGCTAGTTAGTGCCAGTGTGATGAGTCTGCGCTGAAAATTGCTCAGTTTGGGTAATGTGGCCCTCTAGTGGGGGTCAAAGGTCGAGCAGAATATCTCTGACTTTGTCAGCTAGCTTGTCATTATTTATTGTTCCACTACATCCACGATAAGTTGGGGGTTAGGCATTCCTCATCGATTCTTTCAGTCGAAAACCACACAGTTTCTGCTCACGCTAAACTTGGTCAAATCGCTACCAATTTTCCGATATTTCCCACGTTCACTTGAAGTATGACGGAGAACGATCCTACGTGTTGCTTGGTAGAGGTTCATTTTCTTCTCTGTCTTTTGCCAAAAGACGTTTGAATATAATGATTTGTATGTGGGTTTTACACCATTGTATGTTTGGCCTCATCTCGCGGAATCGTTATCGACTCCCCTTTTCCCTTATTCGGGCCGTCTTATGTCACGGTACGTGTGAAACAGCACGGTTTGTACTTTGTAGCCGCTTGAGCTTTCGCCCACCATAATTGGTCTACGGCTTACATATCAAAACAAAGCTAGTTGGTCTAGTAAGTTGGACGCCGCACCAACCGTCCCGCCTACCTATTTTCATTGGGGCATTTCCCTGAGGGATGTATGGTCGATATGATGTTAAGTGAGCATAATTTTAACATTTGGGTTGCTTGCAAGTCTCCCAGAAAACGTATTACCCTCTGGAATTTTTTGTTTGGAAATCACATTCACGTTGCCTTTTCGCGATGACTTCTAACAAACCAATGGCGTACTAAGTCGCTCGTCCTTAACCTGTAATCAACCGTTTGCTCTGCCTTTCATCCTAAGTTATCGGTCTAAATTCATCTCCCTACTTGTCCTAATCTATTGGCGTCTGAGTACTGCGACAGTCTCAGCAGGTGGGTATTTGTACTGAATTGATCCGTACTGTCAGAACATTTCATAGTTGGCAGATGTTGATGAGAACACTTCGTTTCACGATCGCTTTGATTGCGACTATCCGGAAGTGCCCAATTTCTGCTGATCCGCCTCACTTCCCTCCCAACAGTTCCATAACACGGCGAATTCTACCGAAAGGACTTCTGGTATTCCACACCTTGCTTGTATTTAACAGCCTGTTAATACTACTGTTGACTCTTCAGATCCAGCTGTCATCTGTGCACGTATTCGTTCACTGAAATGAAACTTGAACGGGATGTGATGAACAAAACGTTGGGGAGCTTTAAGTGATCATTCATTTGCAAAAAAGATTATTCAGTCCTGTGCTCATTTTGCATTCAAAATATCTCATATATTATTCAGATGATGATTCGTGCCACTTCACGTCACTTGTATGACATGACTTGTTGTGTTCTGGGAGGTTTTTCGCTTGACGGTGGAGATCTTCTGGTTCGTTCAAAACCATTACATCAGGGAGGGAGGTGTTGGATGCTGGGGCTGCTCGCCAGAGTGAACTACATTGCAGCATTTCGGTTATTCAGTTGCCGCATAGCTCAAACACGGTTCCGCTTATGAGTTGAATGAGTGTAATCCTCACCGTTATACTTGCATCATCGGTCGTAACTGCTTGTGCCAAACTGCGTGGCACAAAGATGCCTTATGGTATGTGTGAATTTAGCACCCCGCCTCACTTAACCTTCATACCGCCACAACAATCCCGCTATCGCTGCATGATCGACCCGAGGTTTATCTTCCTTGTTTTACCATCTAACCAGATAATGTCGACCGGAATCTGTTGTGTTGCGACAAATTGAATAACCAACGGGATGTCCATTCAGACCAGTATTATTGCGCACAGTTTCTTGAAAACTGAGATTTTAGATCGTGCTTAGATAAAAAGCAGACATGTCGCTTATATACCCTGCAATTAGATAAAATCTGGAGCCAAGAACTGCTATTTATAGTAATTGTAAATTAACATCAAGATCTGTAGAGGCTCCTTTGGGGAATGATAGCCGAATCACACATTTTAAACCTGGACTGTATTGCTGGAAGATGTCAGAGTTTTTTCATATTCCTGTATCTCAACTGAATGCACCGCGTACGGGTGTTTCCTCTAAACTGAGTAGGAACATTAATTTCCTAAAGGTCGACCATTCTTCTGGTGAGTCCCAAGAAGAGTTCAGACAACCTATTGCGTAGTGTCGGGCTTATTTTGTGATTTGTACATCAAGAATTTCAGTTCAGACTAATAGCTAGTTAACCGAGTCAATTTTTGAGTGAACAAATCTTGTTAAGTTTGGATACGCTCCTCTCGCATTTTGGAGGTTGTTTTTGTCCACTAGACGCTCTTATTTATTCCGGACCGATTGAGGCTTATGGAATTCAGAAACCAAACCCTACTTGATAAATTGCGAATTGCCTCCCTTAGAAGGGACCTCCTTGGTTCTCCATTGGTTGCCACGCAGCAATCCCTACACGGGATTTTCAAAGTGTTCCAGTACCAGAACTCTCCGTGATCTTTGAAACGCAAGTAGAACTCGNAGAAGGGACCTCCTTGGTTCTCCGTTGGTTGCCACGCAGCAATCGCTACACGGGATTTTCAAAGTGTTCCAGTACCAGAACTCTCCGTGATCTTTGAAACGCAAGTAGAACTCGTCTGTGTTCCACAGTTTTGGCGTAGTCTTCGACTTTTCATCTTGTTTTTCTGCTCCCATATACGCACTGTGGGAATGCGGTCTGATGCGTTTCATGTGACACACCTGCCGCAGCTGATGAGGATGTTATCGACTTTATATATATAATCCCCACTGAAAAAGATACGTGTACGGGATCCGCTGTGACTAATGAATGTTAACGCTGTCTTGTAAACAGTGTGGACAATACGGCAGGACAGTCGACGGCTACTGTCTTGCCAACTAACTTGAACAGCTGGGATGGAAATCCATTTTCGCCAAGGGATTGCTAGTTTTCGAGTGAACGCGCGACTTCACGGGTTGTTTCCAACAGAGCGGACGGTAAATTCATTCTTGTGAGCTTAACTACTTTACGGACAATGATGGATCAGTGCGGCCGTGAATTAATTTACACTACCTTGCTTTCCATCCGGTGAAAACAATACGTGATCATCATTTCGTCGAAGTCATAAAGACCTTCGCTGACACTTCCTTTTGCAGCGAAAAATCTACTCATGCGAAGCAGATGATGACTATTGCCATTAGATGTGATCCATTTCTCTGGACTGTGCGCTCTGCCAAACATTATTTTTCGTAAGACTATCCGACGAAAAATTCGTTCAGCTGCAGCACCCTTTCCGTGGCTAACTGCCATGCCACCCGAAGGAAGCACGAGAGCGGGGTCGCCCAAGCCTAGACAGGGGAAGTCGAGAGGCAGAGGTCGGATTCGAACCACTGACCTTCCGGTCAATAAATTCGTGCCCTAACCACTTGGGCCATCTCGCCCCCTATCTATCCGACAGTTGGGCCTCATGACCTCCTGCCTCATGGAAAATGGTTATCTGAATATTTACTAGTCAGTTAGAGCCACTGGAAGTCCAAGAATTTAGTGCACACTGAGAATGACTGTAGACGTCACCAGCAGATTCGAGAGTAGCATTTTTTTCAGCGACAACCAGTGTCCTTTGATGGATACAGAAGTTGCTCTTGGCAGGTTCGCCACGAGTTCACCTTTGCGTTAGACTGCTAACTTCGATTCATACCGGTTTGTGTATCCTTCTTTTCACAGAATGGTGTGCACGGTCTGGCGTACTAATTCATGGTCCCGGTCCAGAGTGGCATTCCACTAAGGGTGAAGGTCTTGGACAGAATATCTGCCGGTTACTGATAGTCACGTGAGCACGCTGTATCTACTTTTGCCGTGCAGAAGGTGGGCACCAGGTTGCAAGGTGGCGTTTCGAGCTTGCAAGAAACAGACGGTCATCTATACACGAACTCACCATACTGTTGTCTTTGTCACTGAGGTTCGCATCGGTTCATCTGGTGCCTCCGTTTGCAATCGTTCTTTCAGATCTCTAAGACCTATTTCACTGTTGATGCAGTGACCTTCTATCGAGCACACATGGTGAATGTAAAAGTTATCTTTCATTGAACATGGACTGCAGGAATTTGTTGCTTAGGCAGAGAGGATGAGAAGACTGAATTTAATGTCGCGATATGCAATCACTCTGGGGGGCTCAATAATCTGAGAGCGCACAGATTACGGTGTGTCCATACTAGAACTGCGAGTTCGGATCATGTAGTAAAGAACATACCCACACCCCGATTAGAGAATCTGAAGAGCGTGTTTGAAGTAAATTTATGTAACACGCTTGAGTCTTGCACAAGCAATACACCGACACCCACCTCCTTTACGGCACTTCATGAACGAATAAATGAGGCTTTAGATGGATGAATAATTAACTGGACGTTGGATGGTACCCAACTAGGTCATCAGAACAAAAGCATACCGAGCAGCGCTTGGTTGCTCTAATAGTCATCTGGCCAAGTACATCACGATTTGCCATAAAAATAACCAGTAGTCAGGTGTATTCTACTTTACACGCAAACCTACACGGACAAATCGAGGGTAGTATGGGGTTAGTGGAATCAAATGAGGTCATTCAGCGAACATAGCATTGCTGTCAAATCTGACGGTTTAGCTGTACAGATTGTGGAGCGACAAAAATTCAGAAGTCATATCGACTTTTTCTGAACAAAGCCCCGGGTTGCGTAACTTCCAATAGCCCTATTGATCGGTAGATTACTTTAAAAAAGCAAAAAACTTCGAAGTATTCTAATCGATTACGGACTTATATTCAGAATGCTATCGATTATTGAGGCGTTGGAATACGGCAATCTGCTCAAAAGAAGCTGATATGGCCTTTGAATTTGTGTTGGCCTACAATCAGTTCGCATATGACAGCGAAGTCATCTGTTTTTGTGCTGATTACGTACAGCATTTAATTCATCATTCATCTATTCGTTGCCTCATTTTCCCATCTGTTCATCCATCCAGTAATCCATTCGTTCATTCTCCCACCGATTGATTGATTTTGATTGATTGACTGGATGATTGATTGGCTGACAGATTCATCCATTCATTGGTCCATATTCATTGGTCCATGTGTTCAAGTAGAACATAAGGTTGACGGAAACTCGGGGACTGCGCCTACCTGGTGAGCCCCAACAAGGGCGAAACCGTTCGTGAGCTGTCGAAGAGTTTTCAGCAACCTTGTGAGTAGTTCCCTTTATGAAAATTAAAGGAGCATATAAATTTCCATCTGTCCTGAATTATCTAATCTCAGTCAGCCATGCACACAACCACACCAACAATCATTCGTAAAACTCACTGCCGTTTCAGGGAAAACACTCATCTAGCCCCGCAATATGTGATTTCAGACATCTATTCTCCATAGCTGTGAAAGTTCTTTGGCTTAATACCGATGAGTTCAGAGGTGTTAGACTCATCGGGATGAGATCACGCGTTCTGTGGAGCATATATCAGGTCCTATTTGACGGTCTCAAAATTAGCAACAATGTGAAAACTCATAACTTTTCCAGTTGACCGGATTTGACTTGACCACCAATTTCATAATGTCATTATTCTAGTATAAACTGTACCATCGCACGCCGACTGTCATTCTCATGTTGGTAAGGATCCATTGCTTGCACACACCAGTTTCTTATATCCAAACCTGGTGAACATAATGATATTCGGCAGAAAGTGTATTCCTACTCTTCATCGGCCGCACTACATCAGTAGTAAATACTAGCGTTTAAGTGTCACAGAAAGTGTATACCACTCTGTGTAGCCACGGCTCAGCTCGTGCACAACCGTATAATCTGAAGCAAAAAAATTTTATTTGCACTGCTGGTAGTTCCTCTAAATGTTTTCTTGAATTTCGCATTCGGCGGTTACCGTAATTCAATGCGCATTTTAATTTCGCCACACTCTAGTTTGTTCATCTTAATTGGTACCTGTCCCCACTTCAATCCTTTAGGAATACTGCTGGCAAGAAGAAGGCTGCGCTCTTGCTGATCGTCTCTGCCCTGACCTCGGCACATTTCTGGACGAGAAGTTCCGCAACACTTACGAACTGACCTACAATACGTGAGTTCCGTGAACTTGTCTACTTGCGCACCCCTCATAGATGGTTTCAATTTCGTTGTCTCTACACGTCATTTCGAAGCCGATAAATAGCAAGTGGATGGTGATCTGACGTTTTGTTTAATATAGTGAGCATTTTATGAAAATTATCCCCAGAACTGGGTTATTCGTACTCCTGTGGATGAGGTACCAATCACAAGCGGTGATCAGGAACGTGATGTAGGTGATATATACTAACCCTCTGTTCAGTCCAATTCATATTTGATTCTCCGGTTCTTTTTGGGTAAAAACTTCCAACAGGTTACAGCTGTCCTAATGTTATTGTGTCAGTGATACTGAGCTCTGGAAATTCCAACAAACTTGCACTGACATCAATGGCACTCTGTTTCTGAAAGTACTTGTTGTTATCACCTGTTGGCCTTGAGCTCTGAAATTCAATCGTGTCGCTAGTTGCCACAGTTATAGATTTATTTAGCGGTTTGTTTTCAATTTCACGTGTTCGTGCCTCAATGGGCCTGTTTGCAACAAGCTCTTTTGTGTTGTATCACCCTTATGGTTCTTTTTGTGGCATTTTCACGGTTGCTGTTCAGGACCTATTGATCACAGTTTGTGACACGCATGGTTCCTCACATACGTCTGCCTTTCTAACGGGTACCGTTGAGCAAAATATCCCTGGTCGGAGGAAGCAGGCAATGTGGGTAGTGTAATTACTCCAAATCTATCGACACTGACTTCTATGACCCTTTTTGTCATGTTACTATGTCCCTGCATCGCCCTTACAGAGTGCCGTGGAATTTCTGGACCAGAAAGAGCATCACTTGTTGAACTGACTCGAGTAGATGCCTTCAAAGATCCAAGAGGCTGATGTCTCAAAACCAATATTGGGTGACTTAAGTTCTCCACCAGATCGGTTAGCTAGATTCTCAGCTGATATACGAATGTCGCTTACGAGGAATTCAGCACCCTACATCAGGAATTTATACGATTTTGCCACCAACGTAATGGGGTTCTTTTTGAACACCGACCAATTCTTGTGAGTTTTACTTGTGGTTGGTCAGATGGCGAATGGTCTGTTCGCCTAGCTTGGCAATAGGCTTGCGAACATTTGGTCCCCAGCCGAAGATACATAGTTAGCGCGCAGTTGACGGCGGCTAACAAATCAAGGGCCGTCTGATAAACCATCAGTGAACGCGGCTGAGTTACCCGTATTTCTGGTGGTTTTTGATGTTAGTTCGATATGTGGACTCTTTGGAAGTGATCGAGCGGTTATTACTAAGAGCCCAACCTACCGGTTTGGGCCAATATTTATGTGTAATATTTCGAACAGGAAGCCATGTATGGGTGCGATTACTCACTTAGAGTTTTTTGTGTTGTGTCGATGTTACTCATATCGCAATCACTATCCACAGAAACCAGCAGAAACAGATGACGTCATAAACTACTTGTCAGCCTAGCTCAAAGCAATACATTGGTGTTTAATCGAGGTAGAGCACTGTACAAAAGAACTTGACCGAAAGCAGCCCGGGTTGAGGTAAAAAAAAGACTCCAAGAGACTTCATTGATTCTGGTTTAAAGCGACTATTAAGTTTACTGGTCCCGGAATCAAGACCCAGTAGTCAGTAGGTTGGCACATAAAGGAGGATGACGTAGGGTGCTAGACACTAACCTGGTCATCTAAGATCGTCAGTTTGCTCTCTGACGTTGTTTCCTCGCATGGTGATGAAACGTTTGCAAGCCAATTGCCAATCTGGTCGAGCAGATCAGCTGTCATCGGATCAACAGCAAATTCCTCGATTACGCCCATCTCGTAAGCTCAAGAGGAGCCAAACCGGTAGTAAATTGCCGTATGCCTGCTTGGAATTCCCTCTTGTCGGAGCGTTCCGATTCCCTGAAAATGAGTGAATTGAATCTGACGGAATCCATAGTGGATGTGCGCCCCTCAACTACTGTTTGTCCAACTAAGCTGTCTACATCTGTGAGAGCCTGACCGGGGGATGCATATCGGCAGCAGTGCTCATTTCCGAAAAGTTGAAATCAGTATGCATGACCATTGTAAGGATATCAATGCGATACCGTTGTAATAGGAGTGCTAGTGTCACCCGTTCGCCGTGTTCTTGCGATGGGAAACCGAACGGTGACTGGAGCTAGTATTGCTTCGACGGGTAAAGACTCATATGGTCTGCTTTTTTGCTTAATCGTCAACACACGATTTTCTCTACACATCTGGTTCCATCACCTGGTTGGTTCTTCCAAACATTTTTGCTTAACGAATTTTTTTAACACGAAAGTTTCTTTGTGCCTACTGGGGCATCGAATTGACTTCGCCCGATGTTCTCAACTAAGGGAAGATGTGTATTTATGGATTTCCTCTAATGGATGTTACAGCAACTTGCCTTTGATTTATATCCGATTTGTTAGACAGCTTTGATGTTGGAACTGCATACTACTAAAGTCCTCACAAGACGCGGTGTGATCTTCCATTCTTCGTGCTATTTATATATGAACGTCCTTCTCTGACTGAAACGGTCTGTCCTCGTGTAAAAAATCTTTGCACCAGTGCAAGTTTCGCTGGTTATTTTAAGCCAACATTCGGGGGGATGTTGGTCTTGTATCTAGCTCATCACTTGACGGCTACATTACAAGAAAACACCGTTGCACAATTTCTCCAGCAGAATCGCTTCCATTGTAAACATCCTCATCTTTTGCCGAAAAAGACTGCATGAAACATGGATACGATCTCACCTGTACCACTGCTTCTAGTTGGTAAACCAGTCTGACCGAAATTCTGTTCGTCGTGTGATCCAAGAATACTGCGTACTGCTTCTGAATTCCGTCGACACTCATTCTCGGCAGCAGCACCAGTGAAGAACTCCACACGATCGGACCAATGTGTTCTCATAAGGATTAACCTTTTTTTCGTTTCCTGTATGCTTGTCGCGGTTGTCAGGGTACGTTTTGTGACCTTTTTCGGGTATTATCTAGTGTAGAATAGTAGTATACGCTGCCTTCAGATGAGTACGCTATTTGCTAAATTGGAAACGGCCATGTCAGTCGAAAGGAGAATCCGGGGCCAACATAACACCCAGTTTCAGCAAACGCAATACAGATATACTCCTCATAGCAACTACTCAGCTAACTTGGCAACATATTGGAACATTGATAGCTCGAGTGACAGGTGATCAGGCGACTGTTGATCTGCTCTCCATGCTTGGCAATCGACTCGCCCGCGTTCCGTCATCATTCGAGAAGACATCATCAGTGCACTGTTGGGTGGGTAGTTTCTTGATCCATGTTTACGCTTATATATTTTGCAAAGAGCAGCTTTAAGCTATCACCTTATTGTCTGTTGATAATCATCTCACTTGGAGCTTGATTGGTCCGTTCGTGATCTGTGTTGCGTTGTGGTTTGCACTTCCTGCAGCAAGCCTTCAGAAAGAATTCTAAACTTACAACACAACCATCAAAACAGTCACAAGCAGAGCTGCATTCAAGCGAACTGAGACACTGTGACACAACGAGATCCAAGCCAAGATAAGAGAGACCTTCATACAGGGTCTTCCAAAGGAAGCTACACAAGGAACTTCATCTGAAGGTGTCTGAGAAAATACAATTCGATGACCCAAAGAGAAGAAAAACACACTGTCTTACAGCAGAAACGTCACTGGGATGACTTCATGGATACTATGACAGGGCGATATCATAGTGGCTGAATATACCCGTGGAAGTCATGACAACCATGAAAGTAGCGAACAAAGCTTATTTTCTGTGATTGTTCCTCTTCGCTAATACATTACAAATTTATATCGTTGAATGAAGGGGGTAGGTGAATGGATCACGGAATTGGGTAAGTGACGTCAATGTCAACGGGCTCGTGGGACCGGATTTTTTGGCTCTGAGGTCTGCATATACAGTGCTTCATTGTGAGGGGACCTATCAATATGCTATCATTCGGATTGTGCGGTCATATTCAATATAGTACTTATTCTTCAGCTTACACAGTAGCCCCTGTATCAACGGTGCAGTTCCTTTTGGAGGCAACACTGGCAAAATGCGTGGCCCTTTGTGAGAGACGGCTTATTTTGGCCTCCTTTGAAGTGACTACTTCAAAGCGAAGGCTAAAATCATTCCCTTATGCAATGTGTGAGAAGCTACTGTCGAGGCGGGCGTTGGAAGACCCAAGAGCGATGTGCGCCATTTATCTGGAGGAAAGAATTCGCTTGTTCAGTGACTATGTTTCTCCCAAAAGGGACCAATCTGTGGACGGTTCTTGGTCTTCCGATTATCTCCCCAAGGGGTCGTCGTGTTGCTGCGAGGGCTCAGGAGACGAAATTTGTACTTTGTTTGCCGACTGAAGGCGTCAGTGTAGTAGGGTGAGCTACGAAATTGCATGGGCGATATAGTCGGGAGAGGTAGTTTAGTACATATGTATCTAGTCACAGAACCACGCCTTCAGTCTATAGAGGCTAGTATATGTTGAATCTTCAAATTGAAATGCCATTTTAAGTTGCTGCATTCGATTACACGCTCCATCCCGAGCTGTTGAACAGGTGGTGCACTTGAATGAGTTCAACGCATTCTTATACAGCTCCTTTAGCATATATGTCATTTGGAAGGCGCTCAGCTCGCAAACATTTTTTCTCAGCTCTAGAAATCTGCAGGCTCTACCGCGTAGACACAGCACTGCTACCATCGTGTTCGTCTCTGCAGGATGGGTAGTGACAGAACTTCGCCATAATCTTTGCCATGGTATGGTTGACTGACTTGGAGGTGTGGCCCTATTCTTTAAATAAGGTCGAGTGTAGACTTCCTTGACCTTGAGACGCTCATGTTTTTGGTTCTCTTTGAGGTTGAGTATTTTTGCGGCTACCGAGTTTCGAAGGTCTCTCTTAAACACTTCAAAGTTCTTTGTATAGGGTCCTATCCATTTGTCTAAATTATTTATGGGTAGGCCATCTTTGTGCTTGCAAATTTTCGAAAATTCCATGATATGAATGCCACTTCCAGCTCGGACGCATTTTGTGTGCATTGTATGTGTGTTCTTATAGTTTCCTTTGAGATTCTAAACACCCGGCGAAATTCGGACACAAGTGCTGCTTTGGACGAAGTGATTCGTACAGAGTCTCGTGCGTTCGGACCTTGCAGCCCCGCGAGCGGCTGTGTAGCAAAGCGCAATGTCATTTTCACAGACGCGCACATCAGTTCCAGGAGTGTGTGCAGTCTCCCCATAGATAGCTGAGTGCGGTATAATCGGTGCGCGTTCATGGATCGTTAGGAACTGGTGAGCGCTAGGCCATTCGTTCACCCCTGCTGCGGCCAAAGTTGGAACTGAAGGAAAGCATGTCTGTACAGAGCCGGAATTGTGGTTCTATGCCTACGTAATTTCGGGGAACAAGACTACCTCCACTTCATCCAAGTCTACCTCTGAGCGTTAATAATTCCATCCAGTTTCCTCGATTACTTCTTTCTGTCAATGATTCCGGTAGCCTCAACTCACATTTTTTGCCATCTGAGATGTAGATAGTTAGATGTAATTCGTGTGCAAGCGGAGACTCCGAGTAGTACAAACTCTTCTGTTCGAAGCAAACCAATAGATCACAGCAGACTGCTCTCACAATTATTTTGACGGAGAGGTTTGTCTAATCTTTCGCTTGATACTCCGATTCTCGGATATTCCTAACTGGTACCGTTCGTCCGAGTTCACCTTTGGAGAACTTTTGGTAAATACCGGTGGCATGAGAGCTAAATGTGTGTTATGCTGACAGGCGTATTGCTCCAGCCACAAGTTTTTTTTTGAATTAATAAACCAGAGCACGATATTAGTTGGCGTATTGTTTAGTTTAACCACCTGCGCCCGCTAGATCAAACCTATCAACCTGATGTTTTGTGAGAGTTTCACATGTCCACCTGTCGAATGCACAAGCTCAAAATTTTGGAGGATTGGGTAATTAGTCTATTAAGACTGAACTATCCAGCTTATTGTTGCATTGATGACTACCACGGAACTTTTCCATTTTACGCAACCTTCACTTAAGTAAGGTGGGCAATAAAAAGTTTTCTTCACAGAATACTAGTCATTATAAATGTTCCTTTAAATAACGTTTGATCAATAGCACTTTCGTTCCACTACAATTGCAGATGTACTCGTTGTTGCATTGCCGGTTAAAGTTCAACAACTCTGTTCGGTTACAAATGTATACTTGCCTCCGTGTCGTTCGACCATTAAGTCTAATGTGAAGGCGTTCCTTCTCAATGCACGTGGTTAGCAAGTCTCCAAATCGATATATTTTGAATCATCTATGAACTCCTGGTAAACGAGCCTGTGTTCGGTTTCTCAAAGTTTAGCACAAGTTTTTCCAGCGTAAATCCCTTAACAAGCTGTAGCCTCGATTTTCAAAATGCTGTGTGTTCAACTGGTTCGTGGTTCTTTTAAGAAGGATTCCTGCCACGGGATAACGCGTTTTTTGGTGTCACATAGCTTCTGTGTTCATAAGATCCATTTGATAAATATATGGGACTGGAGGCATTTTTCGTCTGGCCATAGTTGTCGGCCTCTCTCCCACTCATCATGACGCTGTACAGAAAAGAAACATTCATGAGTGTCGCTCGTCTGATTGTTTTTGTTCTTCTTGACACTCGAGAACTTCGTTGGTTGGAATCTCACCGCGATTCCTCCGGGGTTCATATAAGTGTCCGTGTCTGGTATTCTACAAACACCGCTCGTATTTATATTGTTCCACGTGATCAAATCGTCTAGACACTCGTATTACCAATCTGAATGGGTTCGAACAGAATAACAAATATTTGTTAGCGCTCAGTTTTACTTTCTTTTTTCCCATCTTATACCACCTTTTTCTCTTTAGGTCCACTTCCCATTCCTTCGTCTACATTGGTTTCTGCGTACACAAAGTTTAAGGACGAATTCTTTTTTACAAATGAAAAACCTCTCACTGATGCTTTCTTATTATGTTGCCTTCAGGTTAAATTTCATCACCAACGTAGACACCACTTTATACCGCCGATCAGTTTGGAATCACGTGCAAAGTTTGTTCGGGATTTGTCATGACGAATTTCGCTACGACTGTATCGATCGACTATTGAACAAGCAGCAGCGGGCTTTTTTGAAATTGTGTGCCACTCGACCGGTCGCCATCGATCCAGCGAGACACCGATTCGAAAAATTGTTTCCAGTGCTTTCACCTTCAGAAGTGGTGAGTTGATTTCCCATGGATTTTACGTAGATTTGGCACACTCGTACTATTCTATTCTCCAACTCTCTGTCACGGTGCGCTTGCTTGCGGCAGGTAAAAACTGCGACCGAACTCAGTCACCGGACTTAGGTGCTTTGCTGAACCTAAACAATGCAACTCGTGATGTGCGGTCTTGTTTTCCTACTTTTTCTTAGGTTCATGTGATACTTATGGTCGTGGAGGCCAGACAGCAGGCCTGTCTCCTATATGCTCTCCGCGCTATTTCCGAATGCCAAGCGCGTCGGCCCTACTGACGAGTGTGTGGCGCATCAGCCTATTTCTTCACGTTTACTTGCGAACTTGTGATGCGTCCTTCCAGATCAACCGTGCAAACCCGTGAAATAACTGTCTTCATTATCACCATTTTCATCATTTGTGTATCCCATCCTAATCCATCCACACGCTCGTCTTTTAGGTATTCATTTAATGTGCCAGAGCATTGTCGGATTCTTTATGGTGTTACAATTGAATCATGATTTGCCTGTGGTTTTGACTTTGTATTAGAGGGTTTCATCATTTCTTGCACGTGGATTGGGGACAGGAGGAATCGCTGCATAGACATCTGCCAGCGGCATAGCTCTGCTCCCTGTATGGAAAAAATCGGGTAAAAATTTTACTGATTGCGGTCAAGACCTCACGGTCTACTGATTGAATCTGTTGGAGCTATCTTTTGATTAACATCCGGTTGGTGAGAGGCGATGTAGGGTCGTCGTAGCCAATTGGGCGAAAAAAACTATTAATAGCTATCGTTTCATTCAGCACTTTCAAGCGTATACTCAGCGATGTCTAGTTTGAAATGATGGAAAGGGATGCCAGCTCAGTATGTAGTAACTGCGAGGAATGGTACATGGTGGTCTTCCTAGCCCCGACCTGAAGCTGTAACATTGTCATAGTGGTCGGGCCTTAGTGCCGCAATGATCCCGCGGGCTATACTAGCTAGAACCCGATTCTTAAAGGTTCAACCATGCTAGGAAGACCGACCGGTAGTAGTGCGATGGAGAACAGTGGGTCCCAGCGAGAAATCGTTTTACGAGGTGGTCTGGAGTTAAAGTCGTGCTGTTCTCGGCGCTGGTATTTTGATGGCACTAAGGTGTTTCCTCCAGGCTACCAGCAGCAATGCTCCTTCCTCCAAGGAAGGACGATTTAGAAATGATCAGCCCTAAAAACCGCATAGCCGATTGCCCAACATTTGACCGTTGAATACAGTCGAAATACTTCTAAAACCGAAGATGCTGGTGCTGCTCAAGTTGGACCTTCTTTGAGCATCTGCGTTAGAAGTCAGACAGGTGTGTCTCGCTCCCTGTGCCATCGGACCAGGTCGACTCCCTGTATTGAAGTGGGTCGGACTGTTGAGCCATTGTTTCCTACTTTTGAGTCGGGCGCTAGGGCAAGCTTCTCAGAGCAATACCTTACACTCCCAGTTCCTTGTGGGTTAGGATTTTGCGTCAGAGGCTCACCATTGGGTACCTCAGCCAAACTCTTTCCTTCCGCCCTGGCAAATGATAAGTATCGTTCTTCTTTACAGCTCTTTAGCACCTCTTGTCCTTCTAGCAGTATCAGCGGGAGTAAATGCATCCGTTTGGGATACAGTTCTCTGGTGTGCCTGTTATTCGATGAAATGGAAGCCTCTTCAGAACCGTACGAGAAACATGCCCTCGTTTTCCTAATATGAAGCATCGGATTGTAAGTGCCCTGTGTTGTTGAACCAGATATGTCAGTGAACTATCATTTTGGTCGGTCTTTGCCACAAGCGCCGCTAGTTCCCTATCCCACTACCCCTGGCTTGAAGTATCTTTGAATGTGCACTCGGCACCGTTGAAATAGTTGGCATTCGCACTGAGATTTAAATATTCAGCTGAAGAGTAGGATTTAGTCGCGACAATACAGTGACCATCGGATTCCCGCAACCATTTCGAAATGCTTCTTCGAGATAAATTATCTCGCTTGCTGGTTCTAATATCCGTTTTTTATACAAAAGGTAGCTTATACTGACCAGTTGAAACAGACTAAGTCTAGATGGCTCACCATGGTACGCTGATGTACAACGGTCACATATAAGTACGCTTTTCATTCACTGGATCATCTACTTTAACAATAATAATAATCGTTCAGCTGTAGCACCCTTTTGGTGCCCAGCTGTCATGCCACCAGAAGGAAGCACGAGGGCTGGGATACTGCCAAGCCTAGGCAGGGGGAGTCGAGAGGCAAAGGTCGGGTTCTAACCCCCTTAGACGAATAAAAACTACCTCGTCCTCACGAAGTTTGTGTTGGTGGTGCATAATATGTGCATTGACCACCCTGTTGTATTCACCCTTAGTTTTCAGCTGAAAAATGCGTGTATTGTTATCAAACCGTGTATTCGTCTTTTGTCAGCGTCCTATGGACTTTCAGGTAGATGCCTTAATTGAGAGGCGCACGTGTGTATCTTTATAAAACATTTGATAAGGTTTCTGCATTCATATTGGAGCATCTTCCCGAAACGCCTACGGCGCGACGTCGATCTGCATGCATGCATAGAAATTCTCAGTATTGTCTAATAAAATGCTGGTATCATGAATGACGCGAATATAACAGCCAGCATCAACTGACAAAAAAGACAGGTTTTGTAAATTTGGCGCATTTATGGCCATTTACTTTACTGTTATCTGGTGCTGCACTACGTACTTCTGCCAACTTGAGCACTGCGCTCCCCCAAGAGTGACCATAGGTCCAGGGTTGAAAAGCGCTGTTTACACGCAGCGTCACCCTACTAACTGGCTATCGATGGAACCGTAGAAAAAATGTCGCTCGAAACGTACGGATACTGTAAGTACTGTTGTCACTGGATACATGCCCTATACCGAGGTAACTAGTACTCACATGTCTGCTCAGACTCGCTTTCCGAACACTAATGTGCTTTTCGAATCCATGTACATTCTCTGCATGCAAAAATCCTGTTTTAGACGCCCAATTCACCACCAATTGCCTGTTACTCTCCTCTGTTGTGATCACGAGCCTTCTCCTGCCACAATACATATCTGCGGATCCTGTTACTTCGCTCTTTCAACATCGCTGGTTTCCAATGTATCCTATTTAGGAGACCGGTCGTGTCTGTATGGGCTCTAATCGGTTTATGATGACAGCTTTTTGACTTTATTCTAAGATCACAACGTGTTTATCTCCAGTAGGAAAGTCAGACTTTTGCATCCTATCATGGAATAAACAAACTATAAATGTACCGTTTTCACAAAACAAGTCTTGACATTTTTCTCAGTTGAGTTTGGTAGTTTCGGTCCAAGGTCCCTGAATCTCGTCCATTGTTCCTTTAGTTTAGCTATATGAACAACAGCCTCTAGATACTTTTGTAATTTCTATACTGGATCTGGTTAGCAGCAAACTCCTCCAACGTCTCAAAGGCTTTTCCAAGACCAAGTGCCTCAATATTGCGGTCAGCATCGTAAATCACGTTTTTTATTAGAACTTTCGGGGAATCGTTTTGTTGGTAATCATAGCCGGGTGGATGTACATTTCCTGTTCTTGGACACGTTCATGTCAATACGTGCGTTTTCCAGCATTGAACCACTTAGCAATGAAGAGTCCCGTAGACACGCGCATCGTAATTACACGCCAGCTCTTAACGTTCAAGATCCTAATACCGAATGAAGGCATCAAATTATTCCACATCTGTTTATCATGACTGGTTCGGGGGATAAAATCATCTACACGAGGGACAGGCAAACAATGAGCGGATGAATGTGATGATAGCTAACAATCGCTCTTATACGTCGTCCTACTCGGCTTCTGAATGAGACATTCTAGTAGCAAATTCACGGACAAAGTTGGCAGTTTTATTGACAAGCGAAGCCGAGTAGCTATTTTATCGTGGATGCAGTTCCGTCCGTTCAATATTTTTTCGTATGGTCATTCGTTCGGGGGGTGAGATGGCCTAAGTGGTTAGAGCGCGAATTTACTGACCCGAAGGTCCGTGGTTCGAGTCCGACATCCGCCTCTCGACTTCCCCTGTCTAGGCTTGGTAACCTGGCAAGTATCCCAGCCCTCGTGCTTCCTTCGGGTGGCGTGGCAGCTGGGCACCGGAAGGGTGCTACAGCTGAACTGAACGCGGAAGGGTCATTCACTGCTAATCCGAATGTCCCGGACCACCAGGATGTGTAGCCAGCTACTCGTAATTATCACTAATTAGTCCAACTAGTCTCAGTAAGAGAGCGTCCTCCGGATCTGTTTTCCAAAATTGTCGGGAGGGGTTCTGTGCCCCGCGATTCCCGGTCGGGTTTGGTGTATCTTCGCCATCGGGCAGAGTTGTGGTGAACCAGATGTTTCGGTCTATAAGCGCCGTAGTGAGAGAGCGTCCCCTTTGTCTCAGTCGGCAAAGCACCCGTCTAATGTAGGAGGCCGGTGGCGTCAAATATGTTACTGCGAATGAGCTTATGTGTTCGAAGGAAAACAATCGGCGGACGAGCTTGCTCAAGCCTGTTGAAAGTCATCAGCCGGCATAAGTATTACAATGAATACTCGTATCGCATTGAACAGTGAAGTACTGATGTCATCTGGAAACTCTTACGGAGTGATCAGATCTGCTACAAGCTGCCCGTGATGAGTAGCTTTGGCTGTAATCGATAAATATGCGGTACATGTGTAGTACTTCCATGGCTTCATGCATTTGGAACTGGGAAACATAACTCAGTCTAGTCACAGACACTTCGTCGCTCGTCAGAATAGTTCACCATGGGTTTATTATTGATCGGACGTGGATTTTAGATGCCAGAGGGAAGGTAGTTAGGGAGACGTATTCGCCAACGATAAGTCTTCATAGTACAGCTTCATCGGGTGACTCACTTTGGAAAGTTCATCAGTATCAACCACCATTGGTGTGCAACCCCTGGGGCACCAATCACCAACTTCACTGAGTGTACTGTCCGAGGTATATGCACTCCTTGGGTTAGAATGACCGCATAAACCCGATTTATCGAATGGATTCTACATCGCTAGTGGTCCTCCGTCTTGCAAAATTCACAAATTGATCGGTTTATTTAATGAATTTAACCAACTCGTTCACGGAAGTATTCCATTCTAATTCGCCAGTGCTGATTCGACCAGATCTAGGCAGTGCTTTTTGGTCAAAAAAGGTGGAATCATGGGAACTTTTATCATATTTTCTCTGTCTTCCGACCCAAAGGAAAGACACCTTGGTTTAGCAGACTAAATAGTGCCACCTAGGCCATGCTTGTTGACACCTGGAAAAACAAATGATCTTCCTACGATATGTGCCGTCAGTCTGCCAGGACACTGATGGCTACCCAGCTGGATATATTCACGTAATAGATACGCTGATTTTCATAAAGGTAACTACTCACCAGGTTGCTGAAAACTTTTCGACCTTGTGAGTAGTTTCCTTTATGAAAATATACTGCGATATCTCGAATATTGTGTCAACTGAAACATGAAGCGGCTTGTGTGCAGCACATTCAGCTGTAGAATATCATAAA